AGGGCTGCCCATTTCTCACACTTGGTTACAAAGAGCAGAGGCAATCCTAAGGTGCTATTCAACACCATTAGTGACATTGTTACTCCTGCTCTGCCTGCAGCCCCTATTTTTTCTAACGAGGACTGTGAAAAATTTCTTTCTTTTCTGCTTGCAAAAATTCACAACGTGAGAATGAATTTTTCACATTCAGCACCTGTTATTTTGATCTCTACCCCATCTCGGCCCATTATCTTGGATACTTTCTCTCCTGTTTCACTACCTGAGCTAGTGAAATTAGTGAATTCAGTGAAAGCATCCTTCTGTTCACTTGACATTGTACCTGCATCATTATTCAAAAATGTCTTCCAGTCTATTGGCCCATGTGTGCTCACTTTAATCAACTCTTCACTGGCATCTGGTATAGTTCTGGTTTATTTTAAAAACGCTGCTATTGTCCCACTTTTAAAAAAACCTCAGCTAGACCCCTCTCTTTGGAGCAGCTACAGACCTATCTCTAAATTACCGTTAATTGCTAAGCTTCTATAAAAAGGTTGTGGCTAAGCAACTTATGGCAGATAAACATAGCATCTAGGAAGATTTACACAGTCTTTAAAAGTCAGTATCGAGGGTCCAATCCTTATCTATTTGTTACATTCTCCTTCAAGCTGTGTATCCTTCCTTGTGTGCCCACAGATGGGCTTTTGGCTGCCATTGGTTCTGAGTCATTCACCCACACAGCTGCCCATTTAACTGGACATACAGATTGTTTTACTGGCAATCAGGTCAGTAGTTACTTTACAATATCCTGGAAATAAATATTTTCAGCTTTATTTCCTCTTTTCCTACCAGAGCATTTCCAGTTTCACATGTGGATCCTCCTTTTGATCAGACAAAAGCTTCATTTCTGAGTCTCCTGGGTGATTATATCTCAAGTCCAACTCTTTCAAATAGGAGGGATTGGAGCGCAGAGCTGTGGCCAGAGAGGTGAAGCCTGTTCCTGTGATCTGACAGCCTGACAACCTTCAAACACATCAACATGTCACATCATTGTAATGAACTGCTCTGAATTTGATGATGTACAATCAAACTAACAGATTCTGATTTCAGTTAAAGTTGTTAGAAAGACAAACAAACTGGCTTTTCTTCACTCAGTTTTAAAAAAGAAATGAAAGCATTGACTTTCTGTCTTTTTTGCTATGATAGACAATCATAAATAAAGTCATAATTTTCTGATTTATGAAGTGTGTGTTTTTCACTTTCTACTCTACTGTGCTCTTTCAGAGCTTACACCACAACAGAAACAACATCAGAAAATACATATTAACATCTATAAAATAATGACAGTTGTTGTGAAATATCCGGATCTCCTCAAACAAAGCTTCAACTAACCTGAGAGTTTCCAGCATACAGTGAGGACTCCCAAGTCCAACACAAAGCAGCTTCACTCCTGAGTCCTGAAAGTTGTTGTTACTCATGTCCAGCTCTCTCAGTCTGGAGGACTGAGAACTTAAAATTGAGGAAAGAGCTTCACAGCTTCTCTCTGTGAGGTTACAGCCACTCAACCTAGAAAGACAAGAATATCAGTAAACTTTGCAACCTTTTCAAATAAACACTTTAACCCTCTCAAGCTCAAATTAAGTTTCTGTTGCTAATGCACAAAAGAATACCTGCAGTGGTACTTCTGAGTAAAAAAAAACTTTTATACATATAAAATATGTCCATCCATCCATCCATTCGCTTCCGCTTATCCTTTTCAGGGTTGTGGGGGGCGCATATAAAATATGTATGTGGGGTAATCAGGTTTTTAGCTTTTAACTGTTGCAAATCTGCAACGCCTGCCTTGAGAGGGTTAAAGCAATCTCTTGCCAGGATTAAACTGGATACTTACTGGGCTTTCTTACAGGCTTTGACCACTGGGAGAAGCTTCAGAAGAGCCTCTTCTGAAGCTGAGTATTTCCTCAAGTCAAACACATCCACACCTGTTTCTGATGACAGTAGGATGAAGACCAGAGCTGACCACTGAGCAGGAGAGAGATTAACTTTAGACAGGTGTCCTGAACTCAGTTGATGCTGGACCTCCTTCACTATAGAGTCATCATTCAATTCATTCAGACAGTGGAGCAGATTGATGCTTTTTTCAGGAGAGAGAGTGCCATTCATCCTTTCTTTAATGTACTTGACTGCTTCCTGATTTATCTGTGAGCTGTTTCCTGTTTGTTTGTGCAGGCCTTGTAGGAGATCCCGATTGGATGGCATCGAAAGACCAAGGAGGAACCGGAGAAACAATTCCAGATGTCCATTTGGACTTTTTAAGGCCTTGTCCACAGCACTCTGGTAGAACTGTCTTACTGGAGATTCTCCAGTCTGCAATGAGGCTGTTTCTTCTTCTTCTTCTTCCAGCAGGTTGATATCAGAGTTGGTGAATGTCAGATGGACATGAAGAGCAGCTAAAAACTCCTGAACACTCAGATGGACAAAACAGCACACCTTCTCACGGTGCAGCCCTCTCTCTTCTTTAAAGATCTGTGTGAACACTCCTGAGCACACTGAGGCCTCTCTGACATTAATGCCACACTCTGTCAGGTCTGATTCATAGAAGATCAGGTTTCCTTTCTGCAGCTGCTCAAACGCCAGTTTCCCCAGTTCTTCAACCATCTTCCTGCTCTCTGGACTCCAGAGAGTATCTGTCTTAGCTCCTCCATCATACTTGATGTTCTTCACTTTGGTCTGAACCACCAGGAAGTGAATGTACATCTTAGTCAGTGTCTTGGGCAGCTTTCTTCCATCCTGTTTGGTTTTTAACAAACTCTCTAGAACTGTAGCAGTGATCCAGCAGAAGATTGGGATGTGACACATGATGTGGAGGCTTCGTGATGTCTTGATGTGAGAGATTATGGTGTTGGCCTC